GCGCACGCGGCGGTCCCCGTGGGATCCGCACCTCCCCCTGGAGGTGCACCCTTCTCCTCCCCCCTCCTCAGTTGGGGGGGGGTCTCCTACGCTCTCGTGCACCCCGCCCTCGGCCGCTGCGCCCGGGCCGCGCGGCCGCTCCCTGGGAGGCGAGGGGCGGGGCCGGGAGGGCCGGGGCCGGGGCCGGGAGGGGGCGGGGCAGACGCGGGCCGGTGGAGCGCCAGGCGGGGCCACGTGGCCGCCGGGCGGCCTGGGCGGAGAGTGGGGCCGGCCCGGCTCCGCCCGCCTGCCTCCGTCGCTGCGTTCGCTTCCGGGTCAAGGTGCGCCAGCCGGTGAGATGGGAACTCCTCGTCCTCCCCGCGTCCGCGCCAGTTGCCCGTTCTCACCCGTGTCCACAGTCAGGGCCCCGGCGGGAGCAGTAGGCCCCTCGCCGGCGTGTGTGCCTCACGTCTGCTCCCTCGTCGGATTCGTCTTCCAAACAGCTGCCACGTTGCTGTTGTCCAAAGTGACCTGTGTCCCTGCTCCCAGTGAAGCATCTTCGGTGACGCCTCCATTCTGTCATGTCACCGGGCATTTCTCAAGAGCCTGCTCCATGCTTAGCACTCTGATAAGCGCTGAGGCCACAAAGAAAGGCAAAAGACAGGTTGTGCCTTTTTTTAATTGTCTTTTTAAATGTTTTTTAAAAATTCATTTATTTTCAGTTTTCAACATTTGCTTCCACAAGATTTAAGTTCCAAATTTTCACCCCGTCTCGCCCCTCCCCCACACCCAAGATGGCATGCATTCTGAGTACCCCTTCCCCTAGTCTGCCCTCCCTTCTATCTCCCCCCCTTCTCTTATCCCCTTCCCCTTTGATTTTCCTGTAGGGCAGGTTAGATTTCTGTACCCCATTTCCTGTCTTTCTTATTTCCCAGTTGCATGTGAAAACATTTTTTTTAAAACATAAGTTTTTAAAACTCTGAGTTCCAAATTTTCTCCCTTCCTCCCTCCCCACCCACCTTCATTGAAAAGGCAAGCAACTCAATGTAGGTTATACATGTGCAGTTACGCAAAACACTTCCATACTAGCCATGTTGTGAAAAACTAACTCTTATTTCCCTTCATCCTGTCCCACCCCCCCCATTTATTCTATTCTTTCTTTTGACCCTGTCCCTCCTCAGAAGTGTTTGCTTCTGATTACCCCCTCTCCTAATCTGCCCTCCCCTCTATCATCCCCTTGCTCTCTTGTCCTCTTCTCCCCCTATTTTCCTGTAGGGTAACACAGATTTCCATACCCAATTGAGTGTGTATGTTATTCCCTCCTTCAGCCAAATCCTATGAGAATAAGATTCACTGATTCCCTCTCACCTTCCCCTTTTGCCCCTCCACTGTAAGAGTTTTTTCTTTTCTGTTTTTTTTTGTGAGATAATTTACCCCGTTCTACCTCTCCCTTTTTCCTTCTCTCAGTATAATCCTCTCTCACCCCTTAATTTTATTCTTCAGATATGACCCCTTCATCTTCAACTCACCCTGTGCCCTCTAACTATCTATATCTATATCTATATATCTATCTATATATATATATATATAATTTTTTTCCCTCCAACTACCCTAATACTGACAAAGGTCTCATGAGTTACAAATATCATCTTCCCATGCAGGAATATAAACAGTTCAACCTTAATAAGTCCCTTATGATTTCTCTTTCCTGTTTACCTCTTCATGTTTCTCTTGAGTCTTGTATTTGAAAGTCAAATTTTCTATTCAGCTCTGGTCTTTTCATCAAGGATGCTTGAAAGTCCCCTATTTCACTGAATTTCCATTTTTTCCCTTGAAGGATTATATTCAGTTTTGCTGGGTAGGTGATTCTTGGTTGTAATCCTATCTCCTTTGCCCTCCAGAATATCATATTCTAAGCCCTGTGGTCCCTTAATGTAGAAGCTGCTAGATCTTGTGTTATCCTGATTGTGTTTCCACAATACTTGAATTTGTTTCTTTCTGACTGCTTGCAATATTTTCTCCTTGACCTGGGAATTCTGGAATTTGGCTACAATATTCCTAGGAGTTTTCCTTCGGGGATCTCTTTCAGTAGGTGATCAGTGGATTCTTTCAATTTCTATTTTGTCCTCTGGTTCTAAAATATCAGGACAGTTTTCCTTGATAATTTCTTGAAAGATGATGTCTAGGCTCTTTTTTTGATCATGGCTTTCAGATAGTCCAACAATTTTTAAATTCTCTCTCCTGGGTCTATTTTCCAGGTCTGTTGTTTTTCCCGTGAGATATTTCGCATTGTTTTCCATTTTTTCATTCTTTTGGATTTGTTTTACGGTGTCTTGATTTCTCATAAAGTCACTAGCTTCCAATTGCTCTATTCTAATTTTTAAGGAAGTATTTTCTTCAGTAAGCTTTTGGACTTCCTTTTCCATTTGGCCAGTTTTGCTTTTTAGGGCATTCTTCTCCTCATTGGCTTTTTGGACCTCTTTTGCCATTTGGGATAGTCTATTTTTTAAGGTGTTGTTTTCTTCAGTATTTTTTTGGGTCTCCTTTAGCAAGCTGTTGACTTGTTTTTCATGACTTTCTTGCATCACTCTCATTTCTCTTCCCAGTTTTTTCTCTGCTTCTCTTACTTGCTTCTCAAAATCCTTTTTGAGCTCTTCCAAGGCCAGTTGACTGATTCATATTTTTCTTGGAGGCTTTGAATATAGGAGTTTTGACTTTGTTGTCTTCTTCTGGTTGTAGGTTTTGATCTTCTTTGTTACCAAAAAAAAATTCCATGGTTTGACACTTTTGGGGATATTTGCTCATGATCTCAGCCAATTACTTCAGTTATAAACTTTTTATTAAGGTAGGGGTCTATTTCCATTGTGGAGAATGTACTATCCCAAGCTTCAGGGGTTTGTGCAGCTGTTTTCAGAGATACTTCTAGGGACCTGTAAGTTTTCAGTTCTTCCAAGGTGGTACGTTCAAGGGCCAGGTGTTAACTCCTTTCCTGGCCTGTGCTCTGGTCTTTGAGTGACCACAAGCACTCTTTTCTGTCTTGGAACTGTGAGGAGGATTTCCTCTCCACAGTCACTACAAGCTCCACCACGCCAGCACTCCTCCTAGCCCTAGGACCGTCACTCAGAACTGTGATTCAAGCACAGGCATAGCAAGAGATTCCTGCCATCCCCTTGTGATCAGCCACTCGATTCCCCCTCAGTCTGTGGCCCGAAAGCTCAGAAGGCAGCCGCCGCCCCGGGCCAAGCTTGGGAAGTAGGGCTGAGACCTAGCTTCTCTCTCTCACCATGGCAAAAACAGACTTTTCCCACCGACCTCCTAAGTTGTCTTTGGCGTTCGTGGGTTGAGAAGTCTGGAAACCACCACAGCTGCCCGACATTCAGTCCTCTAAGGCCTGCTCCGGGTTCGTTGTGGCCTGGGTGCCCACGCTGCACTGCTTTCCTCTCCCAGTCCGGGGCGATATACCTTTTGGATCAATCATCCAGGTTGTCTTGGGCTGGAAATGTGTTTCCCTCTGTCTTTTTGTGGTTTCTGCCGCTTTAGAATTTGTTTAGAATCATTTTTTAGAGGTATTTGGAGGGGTTTGGGGGAGAGCTCAAGCAAGTCACTGCTTTCACTCTGCCATCTTGGCTGTGCCCCGACAGGCTCCGTTTCTAAGGAGTGCAGAGTTTAAAGGACACAAAAACAACTCTGTACAACAAGCTACAGAGAGGCAGTAATGGCCAGAGGGAAGGCCTTAGGAAAGGCCTCCTGTCGAAGGTGGGATTTTAGTTGAAACCTGAAGGAAGCCGGGAGACAAAGATGAAGAAGGAGTGAATTCCAGGCTTGGGGGACAGCCAGGGAAATGCCCAGAGCTGAGACATGGAGGGTCTGGGACAGCCAAGAAACCAGTATCACTGAGCCAAAGAATGACATGGTGAGGAGTGACCTAGTTTTGGAGAGGTTCCAAGAAATTAGGGTTAGTGTGGAAGAAAAATTTTGAGTCCTTGGAATAGATAGCTGAAGATGCACAAGGCACTCACTGACCAGTTCTGATTTGATTTTTTTTTTTACTTGATTTTTCATTTTCAGTTCCAAATCCTCTCCCTCCCTCCCCCCCCCCACCCATTGAGAAGACATGTAATAAGATACCCATTACACATAGTTTTGCATTACTCCTAGATTTTGGGGGGGAGGAACAAAAAAAAATAAAAAAGGGGAAGAATCTGCTTCAGTCTGCACTTGGGGTTCATAAGTTCTCTCTCTCTGGAGGTGGAGAGCATTTTTCATCACGAATCCTTTGGGATTGGCTTGGATCATTGTCTTGCTTAGAATAGGGGAGGTTTTTCGCAGTTGATCATCATCCAATATTGCCGTTACTGAGCACAGTGTTCTGGTTCTGCTCATTTCACTTTCCATCAGGTCAGATGGGCCTTTCTAGGTTTTTCTGCAGTTTTGATTTTAAAAAGAAATCTGCAGAAAAGGAAACACAGGTTGACTCTTAAGATTACTGGGAAGCTTCTCTACAACCTCTGAATGAGCTGAGACTCCAAGGAACACTAGACCGGTGCTCATGGGAGGTTTGTTTCCAGCTATCTTGAGTCAAATTGGAGAGAGGACTTTTGATGGGACTGGGATAACTGACCCCAGAGAGAAAACAGAGCAGCTTCTGTTTTCTCTGCCAAGGGCACTGACCTTTGCACTGGAAATAGAAATGCCTTTGATGAATAAAGGTCAACTGGCCTGCCTAGATGAACTCTATCTGAATCTCGGAGAAAGCCCTGGAGGTGCTAAAAAACTGAAGAAGGGCAAATAAACAGGGGAGAAGAGAATCTGCGGGGGCAGGCCAGGGAACTTGACTTTGATTCCTGGGATCTGATCGTTGTGGAGATTGTGGCATCGTCCTATCTCTGGAGAGCTGGGGTTCGGGAGCTAACAAAGTTGTTCATGGTTTCCCATGGTCAGCACTGTGCTAACATTTTTTTCTCAGTGACTTGGATAAAGGTATCAATGGTCTGCTCATCCAATTTGCAGATGATACCAAACTGGAAGAGAGAGCCAACCCACTGGGAGGTAGAGTCAGGATCCAAGAGGGTTTTGTTAGGCTAGAGCATTTAGGGTTAGGGTTAGAAGTTTAGAGTTAGGCTAGAGCATTGAGCTAAATCTAATGAGATGAAATGCAATCAAAGTCGAGAAAAATGCTAAGTCTTACACTTGGGTTCAGAAAACAATCAACCTCCCAAGTATAAGCTGGGTAGGCAGCTGTTGTTTTAAATGGGGTTCAAGGGGGCAGCTAGGTGGTGCAGTGTATAGAGCACCGGCCCTGAAGTCAGGAGGACCTGAGTTCAAATCCGGCCTCAGACCAAGCATTTGACACTTACTAGCTGTGTGACCCTGGGCAAGTCACTTAACCCCAATTGCCTTAAAAATGAAAAAAAAAGTAAAAAAAAAAAATAAATGGGGTTCAAAGGGCTTGAGTGGACATCAAACTCAATTATGGGGCAGCCAGAAAAGCGACTCTGATTTTAGGCTTCTAGAAAAGTTTTCTGGAATAAGGAGGCATAGTGTCACTTTCCTCTGAGTTCCTCAGTTTAAAGTGGAGAGTGCCCAAAGGAGGATGAAGGGTCTGGAATCTCAAGTCATGTGAGAATTAGTGGACACCACTTAAGTTTAGTTTGGAGGAGGAAA